CACACACACACACACACACACACACACACACACAGTTTCGGTACAGAGGCATAAGAGAGTGTCCACATCCAGCCTACACCTGCTTAGGCATTCCCAAGCCAAGGTTTTCCACCTTGGCTTAAGGGGAGGGCTACCCCTGAACCTTAGCTAGGCTCCTTTGTCCTGTCTGTCATAAAACAAACAGGCTTTCAGCTACTTGGGCAGGGTTTAACTAGCGATCAGCCCTGCAGATAAGTGGATCACACGCTCAACAAGCTCCCAGGGGAATAATTTGTACCGGAGAGCACTTTATAATTTATATTTTTGAAGCTACAGTCTGGGAGTTATCTTCCCAGTGACAAGAGACAGTCTCCCCCGAGCTCCACCTCCCCCCTCCTGTCCAGGCTGGAGATAATTGAGAGGCAGAAAGCATCATCAGGAGACAGAGCTGTCCGTGGGTCTGAAATCTCAGGCGCATGTATGAACGGCTCACTCCAGGACTGGGAAACTCAGGGCAGGATCTCTGGCCATCCATTTCTCTGTACGGCCCCCATTTACAGCTCTGTGTACCACCACTTCCTTCACGCGAAGGAGACTGGGAGGAGGAGAATTCAGTGGTGTGCCGAGCTTCCGGGAGGTCAGGGCGAGCATGGCTGTGGCTGCACCATGGGTCCACTTGTTTGGTTCTCTTCCGCTGTGACCTTTCCTTCTGAAAGTTCATTGGCTGTCGCCTCCCTGTGCTGTATTCAACTCAGTCCAAGTGGGCGGGTCCTATATTTCCAGACCCCGCGTCGAGGGACAAGGTTTGAGGCTGGAGGATAGCTCAGCTGGTGGAATGTTCTCCTGGGATACACAAAGCCCTACGTTCTCAGCTCCCCACAAACTGGGCCTAGGAGTGCACCCCTGACAATCCCAGCAGCATTTGGGAGTGGAGGCAGGATGATCAGAAGTTCAAGGCCATCCTTGACGACATAGCAAGTTCAAGGTTAGCCTGGGCTACAGGAGACCATTATCAAAAAAAAAAAAAAAAAAAATAGAGGGAGAGAGACAGGTATTTGGGCTGGTGGGGTGTAGCTCGATGGTAAAACATCTGCCTAGCATGCAGGAAGCTCATAGGTTCAACCCCCAACACATGAAGGAAAACAAAAACAAACACAACCTTAGATGCTCACCTTGGGGCCTGAACGCTAAGCCTAAAGACCCACATGGCAGAAAGAGAGAACTGACTCTCACAAGTTGTTTTCCGACCTACACGTGGGCACATGTGCTCACACGTGCACACATACACACACACCCAATGTAATAAAGTAGAAAACAAAATGTTCGATGGGACATTTAACTCCTAGAATCCATCTCCCCGAAGGACCTGTGCATTTTGGGATTTAAACTATTCTCTTAGTGCACTTTCTTAAGCCGTTTGTCAGTTTACAGTTTTGGGACATCAGGAGACATTTCAGTTAACTTGCTAGGTATGGTGGCTCATGCCTGTCGCCCAGCACTTAGGGGATTGAGGCAGCAGGATCATTGTGAATTTCTGGCAGACTCGGCCAACTGAGTCCCAGGCCAGGCTGGGCTATAGTGTGAAAATCTGAAAGGAAAATAGTAATAATAATAAATTAAAAAATAAACAAATACAATCCAGCCAGGTGTGGTGCTGAATCCCTGTAATCGCTGCACTAGGGTGACATAGACAGGAACATCAGGGGTTCAAGGCCAGCACTGGCTATACAACATCCTGTCTCACCCCTTACACACACACACACACACACACACACACACACACACACACACACACACTCACACACATGCCAGAGTGATCTCGGCAACTACATAAAGCAGGTGTGGTGAGGACTCCTGCAACCCTCACACTAAGAGGAGGAGCCTCGAGGCTGGAGAGATGGCTCAGCAGTTAAGAGCATGCCCCACGCCAGCAGAAGACTCAAGCTCCCAGCACCCATGTCTGGAGTGTCACAGTCACCTGTAACTCTAGCTTCTAAGGGAATCAGGTGCCTCTGACTTCTGCGGGCACCTGCGCTCATGTGCACATACTCAGATATATGTACACATAATTTAAAAATAATAAAAACAAATCCTTAGAAATTCCAGATCACTGGGTGTGGTGGTGCAGAACTTTAGTCCTTGTACCCTGGGGGTAGAGGCAGATGGATCTCTGTCACGTGTGTTTTAAGGTGCCTGCCTCAAAAACAGAACAAAACAGAGAGTTCTAAGCCATCCTCGGCTATATAGCCAATTTGAGGGTAGCCTGGGCTACAGGAGACTCTGCCTAAGCGGACTTTCCAGTTAATTAATCCCCACCCACCCCTTTAACAATCCCCATGCTCCTATTCTGAATTTCTCCATTTCCTTCCTCCCACGCCCTCATCGCTGCTTAGAGCTCTCCCTGGCAGTGCAGAAGGCCTTCCTCTAGTTCATCCTGCTTCTCACCGAGGGTGTACCTCTCCCAAATCCCTTGTCTGGGGCTTATCTTCCTCACAGAGGGCACAGTGAGAGGCAGAGAGGTGGTCTTGCAAACACCTTAGGAGAGTAGCAGTTGATGATCACGGGATGTGTAAATTTGTCCCAATTCTGCTTTTCTGCACTGCGGTCTGGGATAAAGCACCTGGGCTCCTATCTCAGGCGAACACTCCCAGGCCAGCACTCATTGCCCCTGGTTCATCCACCCTCAACACAACCACTCCTGCACGGGTTTCCCTTTGCTGAATCATTTACTTCTACACATAAATAAATAATCCTCAGTTTCGCCCATCTTTAAAAACAAAACAAACAAACAAACAACAACAACAACAAAAAAAAAACCAAACCCTCTCAACTGGGGATGGGAGCTTTTGACAGAAATCCCCTCAATTGGAAAGAAGAGGTCAAAGGATCAGGAAGTCTCGTGAGTTTAAAACCAGTGTAGGCTACAGGAGACCCTGTGTTTTGTTTTGCTTTATAAGTGCGTTCTCTAGAAAGTGAAACATCACAACTGCCTGTTGCTCGGCATTTTGGATCCCACTGGCAACTGGCTAAAAGGTCAGTCTCTCAGGCTCCCCCCAGGTAGCAGAATCGGACCCTCAGGTGACTCTGATGTGTTAAGCCACCTCTTACAGGTGCAATAACTGAGGGCAGAATCATAAACTAATGGGGCATGGAAAAGGGTGTGGGGTGCTGGCTTAGAAGACAGACAAGGATGTCTTCCTTGTGAAGATGGACCAGTCTGGCTGTCCAGCCTGATGCTGTTAAAACTTTGAAGATGCTGGATGTAGTTAGTGGCACAGGCCTTTATTCCAGTATCAAAGAAGCAGAGGCAGTGGATCTCTGTGAGTTCAAGGCCAACAAGGACTACACAGTGAGAGCCTACTTAAAAAAAATAAAAAATAGCGGCGGTGGTGGTGGTGGTGGTGGTGCATGCCTTTAATCCCAGCACTCGGGAGGCAGAGGCAGGCAGATCTCTGTGAGTTCGAGGCCAGCCTGGTCTACAGAGTGAGTTCCAGGACAGCCAAGGCTACACAGAGAAAGTCTGTCTTGAAAAACAAAACAAACAAAGAAAAGAAAAAAGAAATGGAGCTGGAGAGACGGTCGCCTTTAAGAGTACTTGCTATTCTTGCAGAGGACCCAGGATCAGTTCCATAACCAATATGGTGGCTCAAAACCATCTATAATTCCAGTCCCAGGGGATCTATCTGACGCCTTCTTCTGGCCTCCATGGGCACCAGGCACACATGCGGTGCCCATACATACATGCTGGCAAAAGCACCCATATGCATAAAAAGAAAGCTTTGGGGTTATTTGACAGTTCTGGCAACAAGCTTCCCCCCTCTTCCTCCATTCCCCAGCACAGGCCATGCAGTCCCCACTGGCCTCTGGCTTGTGAGGATCCTCCTGCCTCTGCCTCCAGAATGCAAGGGTTCTGAGTATGAGCCAGGAGGTCCAGCCTGAACCCATGCTTTCTAAACAACAATCCCTTCACAGGCAGATTCTCCTTGACACAATCAGATCCTCGAGACAGGCACTCCCTCCCCGTTGAAAAAAACAACAACTTGGCATTCTTATTCTGATTACTACTAACTGTGATAGTCATCTTCCCATGACTGTGAGAAAACACCCAAGAAAAT